TCTGCTCTGCTCTCCTCTCCTCTCCTCTCTTCTCCTCTCCTCTCCGAACCTCTCCGAACCTCTCCTCTCCGAACCTCTCCGAACCTCTCCTCTCCCCTCCCCTCCCCTCCCCCTTGGTGTTAACCTGCTGATGGTGGGATTTATTTTTTTCCTCTGAGTCTGTTGTTCTGGATTTGCAGCGCTGTCCTGTCACTGTTTGTTTCCTTAGGTGCCAAGCAGTTGCAAAAAAAATCAGCACTTAACAGAGTAATTAATTATTTGTGTCATTAAGCTGCCCAGGCAGGGATCAGTTGGTCATTAACTTATTTCCCTTCTTCGATGATTTGCTTTTGTGCTCTTCTCTTGGTTTTAATTTCTCATGTTAATATCCGTAAATGCTGATTGTAATCTTTATTTTCAGTCATTCCCACTTTACATTTTCCTCTTTTAAGTGAGGAATCACAGCTGACCTTGGCTTTTTTGCCTTTGGGCTGACTTTTTAATATACTAAGGGTGTCCTATACTGTTTTGTTGTGAGTTGGGAGGGGAGAAATACAAATCAGAGTAATAAATTAGTGCTGCTGCCAGACTGGTAATTCCTGGGAGTAGGACCTAAACCCCTAGATGATAAATCCTTAAATTATCCTTAGAGTTTAAGAGCTGGGACCCAAGTCCCTTTCCTTTTGGTGGCATAGAGAGGCCTTGGGCAACACGGAGCATTGCTCTGTGGGTTTTAGATACAGAAGTATCTAAAAGTTCTACCTCTTATTTCTAGATGCCAGGCTTTCTGTAAAAAATGTATTGTACCATATATAATGTGATTTTTACAGAAAAACAAACCCACCACACCACAATCTCCAGGACGTGGCGCAGGGCTGGATCGGTTCCATTAACACCTTCTGCTCCGAAGCATCTGGCTGTTTTAGGGTTGTGTTGGTTTTATGGGTTTTATTTTTTATGAGTAATCTTTGCTGTGAAGGAGACGGGATGTGATCCGCGTCCTCCTGCATCCCACACCATCATCTGTGGAATTTACCCGAAATCTTGGCTACTCAGCTTCTCAGCCCCAGACCCGGCAATGCAGCAGGACCAAGCAGGCCAGGCACGGGCATCCCAGGATTTTGGGGTGGCACCAAGTGAGCAATCACCTCAGGGGAGGATTTTCTCTCTGTAGCGTGTTTCTACTGGTGTGTGCATCTAAACAAGCCTTTGGGAAACTGGGTTTCACCAGGACATGAGGGAACACGCTAAAAGCTTCGTCCAAAAATTATAATAAGAAGAAAGAATCCCCGGGCTGTCCAGGTGAATTCCCTGTTGGAGACAACCCCACTGCAGAGGAAGGGCATGTCCTGCCGCTTGGTCCTTGTGAAACCAAAGTTCCTGTTGGTGAAGTCGAGAGGATTTTCTGATGGTGCTGAGACCTTAAATGCCAAATTTGAGCATCTGTTCCCACGAAGGATCCGTCACCTCCGTACATCCCCCGCTCACTCTCAAGGGGTCTTTGCTTCCGTTTCCATGAAAGCTGTGTTGTATGTCACAGGAACGCAGCTGAAACCTGCTCTGAAAAGGCTGGAGAGACGTGGGAAAAGGCCTGAAGAGGAGCAGCTCAATCCAAATTGGGTATTTCGTAGGAAAAGCCTGGGTGGGCGCTTCAGGGAATAGGTTTGGAGGCTGACCCAAAGCCCTCTGAGATCAGAGTCGGCCGTCAGCAACGACCTTCCCCTCACAAATCCAAGGTCCCAGCTCCCGGTGGGACCCCTGACGGCCACCAGCCACAGCCAGCTTTGTCCCAGCTCCGGGAACACGGTGGCCACCAGCCTCTGGCCTGCTGATACGCCTTTGTATTTGGATTTTGATTTTGAATCAACAGCACTTTCAGCTACTTTTATTATTGTTTTTAATTCTCCTAAGTCTGTATTTGCTTTGGAGGAGAGAATGAAAACTTGGGATGAAATGAAGTGGATCAGGATGGTGGAACAAAAAGGAAAAAAGCAGAAAACATTTCAAATCTTATTCAAGTGATTTTTTTTCCCAGTAATGTAAACCATGAAATTCCTTATAACATTATAGTATTTTACAGTTTTATGAAGCTTTCTATTGTGACTTTTATGGAATCAAAAGATGATGAGATATTTTAGCATTTCTATTTTTCAAAATTAAATGTCTACTGAAACTAAAGTAGCTTTATGCATTTATGGGAGAGCTCATGTCCATTTTCGCTCCTTCTGTGTCGAGTCTTGTCTGATTGAATTGAGATCTGAGGATCACTGTGGTGGTATGGGGGAGTGGCTGGAAATTTGGAAGCAGGCGTCCTTGGTTCGCCTGGATTGCCAAGGAGCAGCATGGAGATGAGCCCACTGGTGCCAGGGGTCTCACCTCCTTCAGGAAGCAGGCGGTGGGTGCAGGGGAGATGCAGCAGGTGGAGACCATGGAGAGGAAGGTCCTGGTGGAGCCCAGGAGCACAGGCAGGGGCACCTGGCTGTAGCTGCTGGCGTACTCGTACAGATACCTGCGGCAGGGGCGGGATGAGGAGAGCCGGCACCCCGGGATCGGGAGCAGGAGCTGCGGGATTTAGGGGCGTTGGGGCTGCCCGGGGATGGGAGCCCTCTCCAGCTACCGGGAACGGCGAGTCCGCACCGCAGGACTTGAGCGACAGGGCCGAGGACTGCGGGAGGGACAAGTGGTTATGGCCACCCACGACACACTCTCTCATCCCGGCCGTGGTTTGGGGTCCATCCCCCGCTTTTGGGTCGCGCCCCGGGGCTGCAGTCCCGGCCGTGCCCACCGGGGTCACCGCTCTCCCGTGCCGCGGCACAGCCCCGGCTCCCCCGGCCCGAGCGGGACCGTGTCCCGTTCCCTGGGGGGGTCCCAGCCCCGCTATGGCCGCAGCGGTCCCGATCTCAGCCCCAATCCCACCACGGTCCTCCCGCCGCGGGGCCCCCACTCCGCCTGCCGGGCGAGAGGCGGCACTGGCCAGGACCTGCCGCGGGCACGGGCGGGACCCGGCAACGAGCCCCGGGAACAAACCCCCGAGCACGGACCCCCGGCAACGAGCCCCTGGACTTAAGAGTAAGGGGTTGGAAATCCTCAAAAGCTCAGTGATGACAGAACAGTGTCACTGCCTTTATCAGCTCATCTCTAAATTCAACATGGCACAAGAAGCTGTGCAGAAATACCCATCTCAACAAAGATCTCCCAGAGCAGTCCGAATCCAAGGGAGCTTCACTTCAGCCGTGCACAAGCACCACTCCTGCTCACCTCCGTGCTGTGTTTGACAGAGTCTGACAGAACATTCCTTTGGGGAACGTGCTGGTTCCTGCTCACGAGGAGGCTGATCCATCAGACTTACTGCCTGAGGTACAAAACACTCTCCAGAGTAATCGCCCCAACAACTGTATCAGATAGAAACACATCCTTAGAAAGAACAATTGCGATGCCAAGGTTTCATGTTTTAAACTCTCTGTCTCTCCCTCCAGAGTTCTCCTGGCAATGTAGGGATGGTGTTTAAGAGCAGCATAAGGAGAACTGACAGTCCCTGTCTCACACTTTCCAGGATAGCAACACTGCCAAACTGAGCTTGTAACATAGACGCTCTCAGGATAATTTGTATCTCTCGTTAAATGCTAATTCTTCACTAGAAGAATCAGGACAGAGAGGCTGATTTAAAAACCTAGAGGGATTCGTGGGCTACAATGACACTGAACACGAGCCTGGTGCTCCTGAAAAGGGCAGATATTGACCTGACAAGTGCCTCAGATTGATCTGTGACAAGAAGTGGGAGGTGAAGTTGGTACCAGAGTCGCTGTCCCTTCACACACAGTTGGTCATTGGCCTGCAGAAAAGAAGGGGGTTCCTGCCTGCTGCTCTCCCCTGGCATTACCCCGTTCCCTGGGAAAGTGCAGCTCTTGTCACTGCAGTGTAAAGGTGGGGAAAAGGCAGCCCAGCTTGGGGGGTGACCCTCCCTTCCTTCAGCTGCTGGGAAACGTGGCCGGGGGTCCCTCAGAGGCACTCCAGCTGAGGAGCTGCACCACTGCCAGAGGGACTTGGCAGGGACGGGGCAAGGGCAGCTCCTAAAATGCCCAGCTGGAGGAACGAGCCGCCCAGGCCTCCGCACCAAGCCCTGGACAGGGCATTTGGGCTGCTGGGGAATGGCCCAGCAGGGAGGTTCTGCTCCTGCCAGCCCAGCTGTTGCTTCCAACCGCATAGGAGGGGAAGGTATTTTGTCAGGGCAGTCGCTCATGGAATGGGTTGCCTGGGGAGGTTGTTGTATCCCCATCCGTGGAATGGTTCAAAACATGACTGGATCCCTCCCTGAGCAGCCCGGTCCGATCCCATTGGTGACTGTGGCCTGAGCAGGAGGTCAGACTTAGAGACCTTGGACTGTCTCTTCTGACCCAGATTCCTCTACAGTCCTGCAGCAGTTCTGGCTTCTTACAGTCCATGAGACCTGTTGGTTCCACAGTCTGCAGAGAAGCTCCTTTGCCCAGCAGGCAGTCCTGGAATGCCCAGACATCCATGGCAGAGATTCCCAGAGCTGCCACGTGCCCCAGCTGTCCCTGAGCCTCAGCTTTGGCCTCGGCACTGAAACGCTGCCAGGACCTGTCCCTGCTGTGCAGGTCCGTGGGGCTGCAGGACACGGTGTCACACGGCACACACGGCCACTGGGTCCTGCCAGCTCCTGCAGCCTGTGCTTCCTGATTGCCGGGGATTTTAGGGGCCACCTGTCTCCAGGGCTGGGCAGGGAAACAGAGATTTCCTGTGCCTGGGAGCAACACAGGGCCTTGCCAAGGCAAGCAAATCGCCTGGGCTTCAGGTGCCCGTGTGCAATTCCATGTCCAGGGTGTCTCCCCCAGCAGCAGGTTCCTGTCCCCAGTTCCCGATCTCCCTGAGCGGAGCGGGCGGGGCGGGGCCGCGGGGACCGGCGGGCTGGGATTGGGCGGCGGCGCTCGATGCTGATTGGGCAGCGCTGCCGGCCCGCGGTATAAAGGGCCGGCGGGGCGGGTGGGGCCAGTTGTGTGTGAGGGAGAGAGAAGGGCCTTGGGAAGCTGCTCCATGAGCCACAGCTGTGCCGAGCCCGGGAGTCTGTCCAGGTAAGAGCAGGGCTTATACTGCCGGTGAGGAGCTGGGTTCTGCTGCTGAAACATGCCCATGCCTTGAAATGCAAGGACAGGCAGAAGCCGGGAGGGACCCTGAGCACATTTGAAAAGCCCTTGACTGTGGGCGAAGTGTCCAGGAGAAATGATTCCTTTTTTTGCAGGGAGGCAGTTTGTGAGGACAGGGGGGTTGCTGTGCTCTCTAGCCAAACTACTGCCCTTGGGATGTGCAGGGTGAGGAAATGTTGGCCACGTGTGGGCTGGAGCAAAGGTGTGTGGGTGGCTGTGTGTGACACCCGTGTGTGTGCTGGAAGGGGGTTCTGGTGCCATTGGAGCTGCCAGGGAGCCAAAAGGGGCACAGTTGTCTGAAAAAGGTGCAAGCTCTGTTGGCCTCTGTTGACACCTGCACCAAAGGAGATGCAAATTTCCCCCCTCTTGGTTGCAGGCTTCACAAAGCTCCCAGGAAAGGAAGTTTTAGATTCCAACTCCCCTTTCTGCTAAAGGTTTCCTTGCTCTCTCAGCAGGATGTGGAGTGCCACCATGTCCCCGAGGTCACCCTTTCTGCTGTTGGGAGAGCATGAGGTGGATGGAGAGGATCCCCAGGCATCTGCAGGCAAAAGGGACTGGCACAACTGCGATTTTTCTCCAGCTCTCTTAAGGTGGACTTTCAGGGTACCATGGGTAATGTGCCAGCTCTCCTGCTGGAGTTTTTGTCTTGTGCTATATTTGAACATCAAGAGTAAAACTAAAGTCAGGTGTGTTCTGGAGTATGTTACACTCGTGCAAAGCTCCTTCCCTCTGTTTATTTTCTGTTCTGGAAAGCACAGTCTGGGGTTCCTGGGCACTTCCTCTTAAATGATTCCATGAAAATAATTTTGTACTGAAAGGAGCTGTCTGTTTGAGATCAGATGTCACTGATAAAAGCTTGATGTTTTTTCACTCAGTAAGCTTTTAAAATATCTCATAGTGTGTAGGAATGCCTGGCTTCTAAACCTCACCAACTGAGTCTTAGAAGTTTCTTTGAAGAGCTGTTTTCAGGCAGCAAAATTGGCCCTGCAGGAGGGACTCTGTGCCTGCTTTCCCGTGGCTCCAAGGGATCTCTGGCCCTTCACGCCGGCACCGAGATTTTCTCGGGAAGGGCCTCAGATCCCCGGACCAGTCTGGGACACAGGCAAGATCCCCCTGCATTTATAAATGAGGCCTTGTTGTGGCTTCCTACCCGTACCCATTGGTGGGTTCCAAAGAAGGGCTCTTGAAATGCCTTTTGGGCTGTCCATTGAAGCCTTGGGACCAAATTGGGCCCCCCTGGAGGGACAGTGCTGTTGGTGCCCCCCGGGTTGGGGCACCCCGAGGACTCCAGCGCGCACCGAAAGGATTATTCGGGGAGATCCTCGGGGTGCCCGGCCCTGGGGAGTTCAAAGCAAGGTCCCTGCACTGGATTCAGGCATTGCTGAGAGTATCCCAGGTGTAGCTGTCCATGCTAGACATGGAGCTCTCTACTGGACTGTAATTGGGTTCTAAAAGTGGTACTCCAAGTGCAAAGGAAGTGTGGGATTGGGATTAAGAATCGAGCAGTGATGGTCCAATTGGCTGTTTTCTCTTGAATGTAATGGTAAGAGCTGCAGGAGTGCAAGGTGTGTGTTCCAGTCCCCAGCATTTGGTTTGCACATGTCCTGCTCAGACCCAGGTCCAACTTCCTCAGTCCTTAACACAAGAGAAGGAGAATTAAGGGCTGGCAGTGTTAAGGTGACTGGTGTGACAGGGGTTAAACTGGGAAAACATTGGGGAATTCCTCAGTTTGTCTCTTTGCCAAACTCAGCCAAACCTGTGCTAGGAAGAGATTGAGTGGAAAAGTTGAGGCAGAAATGAAATTAAAAACTGGGGATGTTGAAACTGTAATTGCTGGAACTAAATGTGTCAAAGCAGCAGCTCTTGCTGTGCAGGGAATAACTCCTGTCAGCAGCAAGGTCCCGACTGAAGTGGCAGCTGCAGTTGTTCCTGTGGTGTGGGCCAGTGGAGTTCCAGGAGAGTGGAAGAGGGCAGAACCTGTAGGTATTACCCCTGATGTGGGATCTATATGGGTAAGGCAAAGCCAGTATCCTTTAAAATCAGAATGCCAGCTTGGATTGGTTGCAGTAACAGCTAAATTGGCTCATCCTGGTTTGCTTGTAGGACGTGAATGCGAGAACCTGCCAAGGAACCAATGGCCAAGATGATTGATGAGTGCAGGACCTGAGAGAACTACCTTGAATGACAATCTCAAGGAGTTTCCAGTATTGGATTTAAAAGATGGCCTTTGCTGCATCTCCTTGAGCAAGGAAAGCCAAGAACCTTTGCTTTTGAAGGAGAAAATCTGGAAAGGGGAAAGGAAGAAGAGAAGCCACCTGACTTCTCCCTGAGCCCCAGACAGCCTATGAACTGCCTTCCTGGGAATGGTAGGATGGGGTGGACTCTGGATTGCTCCCTCTGCATGTGTGGTAAGACTGTTATGCTAACTTTTCCAACAGCCTGTAAGCATTTGCTGCCTTGGCTAGATGGTGCAAGGGTAGCCTTTAAGCAGCTAAAGCATTCCCTGAGGAGAGCTCTGGGTCTGCCAGATCTCTCAGAACTGTTGGAAGCATCTTTGCTGGGGAGGGCAAACAAAGGACAAGGTGTGCAGTGACCCCCCAACAAGGGACTTTGAGTTAATGGCATCCCTGCAAGTGAACGTTGTGGGCTGTTCCCCCTGTAGGGCAGGTGATAGTCCCAGCTAGAGTGATGGGAAAAATGGTTAAAAGAGAGCCCCAAAAGCTGGAAATCCTCCTGGAGGCTCTTGGCCAAGAGAGTTTCCTGAGTTGCCCCTGCAAGAAGGATAGTGACAGCTTTTGAGTGCTAGTAGATGCTTTTAATAGATAGCCTTGAGTGTGTCCTTGTTGCACCAGTAGGCCTTGTCAAAGTCCCCATATTCCAGGAGATATACCTATTGAAGTTGAAAATGATCTCCATAATCCTTTGTTGGCTTGAGGCTCTCCCCTGAGGAACTCCAGGAACTCCTGGTGCCGCCTGGGCCGATGGATTGGACGCCCCAGCCCCTCCGTTCCTGCCCAGCCCCTGGGTCCGTGTCGAGTGGTGGCACTGCCAGCCCCTGCAGGTGAAGTGGGAAGGGCCTTTCCAGGTCTTGTGGGTCACATCTATAGCAGCCAAAGTTGCAGAAAAAGGACCTGGGGTCTCTTCTTCTTTAGTTAAAAAGCTCCTTTTGATTGGTGAGCAGAACAAAGTGGATCCTTCAGAGTTCCCATCCGTGTTTGTGTCTCAGCCTGTGTTATGATTCAGGGCTGTAGCTGTTGTTGTCACTGAGGAGTCAAACTCTGCTTTAAATCATGAGACACTGGCCTAATGGCCAAGTGTCAAGAAAAAAGTGGGAATGATACCTGAGTGTTGAGATGTAACAAGAGGTAATCCTTTTTGCAGTGGGATGTAGCCTGGAAACTGCACAGAGCTGAGCCAAGGGATTTAAAGGGACTAACCAAGGAAGGTGAAGAAAGAAGGAAGAAGGGAAGTGAGGCAGCAGCCCAGCAGCACCAAGTTCCTGTGTCAGCAGGTGAGTTGTCTTAAGGTTCCTAAGGCAGGCACTGAGGACTTTGAGGGCTCCAGACGGAGCAGACCTGCGAAGACCCTCAGTGAAGCCCCTTGGAAACCTTCTAAGGGTAGGTGTGTATGGTAATGAGTGTTGGAAAATGTCCTGAGTAGGGATTAGGAATGCAGAGAAGGAAAATGAACCCTCCTGTAATGCTGCCATATCAGCTGCAGTGGAGATAGCTCTGTGTGCCCTTTGGGAGCTGATTGCCAGGACACCTGGTGGGCTGGAATGATTCAAGAGCATAGGAATAAAAGATTGCCTGGCTTCTAAACCTCTCCAGCTGAGTCTCAGAGGTTCTTTTAAGAAATTTTAGGTAACACCTGAACTTTTGTGTGTAGTTCTGAGTTCCGTTGGAAAGAGATTGTCCAGGGAAGAGGAATCTTGCTCAGTGCAAGAAGTTGCCCTTCCTATCTGAGCTGATGCCCTTGGCAGGAGAAGTGCTCAGCAAGGAGGCTCTTTGCTCCCAGGCAGGAAGAAAGGTCAGTGCCCTTCCTCCCCAAGGCCCAGCCCAGCAGGGCTGGCAGGAGCTGCTGGTGTGGCTGCTCTTTGGGTTCTCAGCTGTGGCTGTGGGGTGGTGACCTCGTGTTCCTCCCCGTGCTCCAGGGCAGCCAAAAGCCCCAGCCCAGCCCCTGGGCCTTTCTGGGAGCCTGAGCTATTGTAGTACTGGGGATGGGGGTTTGGGTTTTTGTTTCCCTAAAAGTAGAACCATTGGGGGGGATCCCTTATCTCACAGTTGTTGTTTTGATATCTTAATTAATTACAACTTGAGAAGAAAACCTTGTGTAACCTAGCAACTGACTTGCACTGGTTCCACTGAAAGTGCCAAGGAGTTGTAGTGTCCACTGGATTGTTTGTATTGAAGCAGTTTGGTGTTTACAGAGGGATAATAACTCCTGTCAGCAGCAAGGTCCTGACTGAAGTGGCAGCTGCAGTTGTTCCTGTGGTGTGGGCCAGTGGAATTCCAAGAAAATGGACAAGGACAGAACCTGTAAGAATTACCCCTAAGCCAGAGTCTCTCCTGGTAAGGCAAACCAAGTATCCTTTAAAATTAGGAAGCCAAGCTGGATTGGTTCTAGTAAGAGCTGAATTTGCTGCTGATGGTTTGATAGTAGAATGTGAATGCAAGGAGCTGTAAAGAAAGGAAATGGGCAAGATGATTGATTGCTGGGAGCAGGGGCTGGCAGACAGTGGCACTGGCTGTTTGGTTGTGGTTGGGAATGAGCAGCTTGACCTGCCCAGGGTTGTCTGTGCTGGGGGTGGGTTTGGGTCCTGTGTGGCCACAGGTCTGTGCAGCAGCTGGAGCCTGGGCAGGTTTGGGGGCTGTGGTGTGCCAGGCTGCTGAGTGTGTTGTCCCTGTTTCCTTGGAGTGTCCCAGTGTCCCTGCTTGGCTGTTTGTTGCCCTGCAGGCAGAAGAGCCCAGGCCTGAGATGGCTGAGTGTTGGTGTGACCCAGAGTGGGTGTCCCTGCCCTGGGGACAGTCCCCAGAGCTGCCTTTGGCATCCCCTGCTGAAGGGTGGGAGCTGCCCAGAGCCAGCAGCATTCAGCTGGAGGATCCAGGAGGATGCAGCTGTGTTTTCCTGGGAGGTAAGAGGTGGGGGTGCAGGAGCTGGCAGGAGTGTTTTGCAGGCAGAGGGAGGGCAGGAGCAGGAGACTTGCAGGTGCCAGCAGCTGTGTCAGTGCTGGATGGAGTCGGGGCTGGGAAAGGGCCCTGAGTGTCAGGGCAGGGGAGAGCCCCGGGTGGCCCTGGGAGCCCTGGGGCTGTGAACAAGTGCAGTGGGCAAAGGAATGGGCACTGGAGAGCTGGGCAAACAGCTGGAGGAGTTGCAAGGAGAAGCAGGAGACTGGGATCCAGGAGCAGCAGCAGCTCCCTGTGTGTGTGTGTAGAACCAGGTGTACTGCAGCCCCGAGTGAGGTGGGAAATGAACCTCAGGAGGCTGGGAACGAGTCCCACAAACTGGTTAAAGTGGGATGGACTCTTCCCAAGTGCCTGAAAAGCTTTTCTTCAGTGTTGCTTTATCAATTGAAAACTGGAGTGATTGTTGAGGTGTTGGCAGTTGTTTTCCTGTGTTTTTGGTGAGGTGTTGACTCAGTACCTTTCTTGGAGCTGCTGCTGGATGAAGAGGTGCCCCCAATTCACCTGTAAGGTCCTGGTTTTCTTCCCTGCTTCTCCCAGCTTGTCCAGGAGATGGAATTCCAGTGCTACAGTCTAGATGGGTCGTGGTGCTCCCAAAAGGAGCCTTTGTGCCTTCAGGACAAGTTTTGGTACCACTGGAGCTACTGGGAGAAGCATAAGGTTGGCAGTGAGAGGCCTTGAATGATGTTGCTGTGGCACAGAAGAAATGAGCAGTGATGGTACAATTGACTATTTTCTCTTGAATATAATGGTAAGAGCTCCAGGAATGCAAGGTGTGTGTTCCAGTCCCCAGCATTTGGTTTGCACATGTCCTGCTCAGACCCAGGTCCAACTTCCTCAGTCCTTAACACAAGAGAAGGAGAATTAAGGGCTGGCAGTGTTAAGGTGACTGGTGTGACAGGGGTTAAACTGGGAAAACATTGGGGAATTCCTCAGTTTGTCTCTTTGCCAAACTCACCCAAACCTGTGCTAGGAAGAGATTGAGTGGAAAAGTTGAGGCAGAAATGAAATTAAAAACTGGGGATGTTGAAACTGTAATTGCTGGAACTAAATGTGTCAAAGCAGCAGCTCTTGTTGTGCAGGGAATAACTCCTGTCAGCAGCAAGGTCCCGACTGAAGTGGCAGCTGCAGTTGTTCCTGTGGTGTGGGCCAGTGGAGTTCCAGGAGAGTGGAAGAGGGCAGAACCTGTAGGTATTACCCCTGATGTGGGATCTATATGGGTAAGGCAAAGCCAGTATCCTTTAAAATCAGAATGCCAGCTTGGATTGGTTGCAGTAACAGCTCAATTGGCTCATCCTGGTTTGCTTGTAGGACGTGAATGCGAGAACCTGCCAAGAAAAGCAATGGCCAAGATGATTGATGAGTGCAGGACCTGAGAGAACCACCTTGAATGACAACCTTAAGTTTAAAAGATGGCTGTTGCTTTTGAAGGAGAAAATCTGGAAGGGGGAAAGGAAGAAGAGAAGCCACCTGACTCCTCCCTGAGCCCCAGACAGCCCCTGAACTGCCTTCCTGGGAATAGTAGGACAGGGTGGACTCTGGATTGCTCCCTCTGGATGTGTGGTAAGACTTTTATACCAGCTTTTAAGAAGAGCCTGTAAGCATTTGCTGCCTTGGCTAGATGGTGCAAGGGCAGCCTTTAAGCAGCTAAAGCATTCCCTGAGGAGAGCTCTGGGTCTGCCAGATCTCTCAGAACTGTTGGAAGCATCTTTGCTGGGGAGGGCAAACAAAGGACAAGGTGTGCAGTGACCCCCCAACAAGGGACTTTGAGTTAATGGCATCCCTGCAAGTGAACTTTGTGGGCTGTTCCCCCTGTAGGGCAGGTGATAGTCCCAGCTAGAGTGATGGGAAAAATGGTTAAAAGAGAGCCCCAAAAGCTGGAAATCCTCCTGGAGGCTCTTGGCCAACAGAGTTTCCTGAGTTGCCCCTGCAAGAAGGATAGTGACAGCTTTTGAGTGCTAGTAGATGCTTTTAATAGATAGCCTTGAGTGTGTCCTTGTTGCACCAGTAGGCCTTGTCAAAGTCCCCATATTCCAGGAGATATACCTATTGAAGTTGAAAATGATCTCCATAATCCTTTGTTGGCTTGAGGCTCTCCCCTGAGGAGCTCCAGGAACTCCTGGTGCCGCCTGGGCCGATGGATTGGACGCCCCAGCCCCTCCGTTCCTGCCCAGCCCCTGGGTCCGTGTCGAGTGGTGGCACTGCCAGCCCCTGCAGGTGAAGTGGGAAGGGCCTTTCCAGGTCTTGTGGGTCACATCTATAGCAGCCAAAGTTGCAGAAAAAGGACCTGGGGTCTCTTCTTCTTTAGTTAAAAAAGCTCCTTTTGATTGGTGAGCAGAACAAAGTGGATCCTTCAGAGTTCCCATCCGTGTTTGTGTCTCAGCCTGTGTTATGATTCAGGGCTGTAGCTGTTGTTGTCACTGAGGAGTCAAACTCTGCTTTAAATCATGAGACACTGGCCTAATGGCCAAGTGTCAGGAAAAAAGTGGGAATGATACCTGAGTGTTGAGATGTAACAAGAGGTAATCCTTTTTGCAGTGGGATGTAGCCTGGAAACTGCACAGAGCTGAGCCAAGGGATTTAAAGAGACCAACCAAGGGAGGTGAAGAAAGAAGGAAGAAGGGAAGTGAGGCAGTAGACAAGCACCACTAAGTTACACTGGAAACAGGTGAGTTCTCTTGAAATTCCTAAGGCAGGCACTGAGGACTTTGAGGGCTCCAGACAGAGCAGACCTGCGAAGGGCCTCGGTGAAGCCCCTTGGAAACCTTCTAAGGGTAGGTGTGTATGGTAGTGAGTGTTGGAAAATGTCCTGAATGTGGAACAGGAATGCAGGGAAGGAAAATGAACCCTCCTGTAATGCTGCCATATCAGCTGCAGTGGAGATAGCTCTGTGTGCCCTTTGGGAGCTGATTGCCAGGACACCTGGTGGGCTGGAATGATTCAAGAGCATAGGAATAAAAGATTGCCTGGCTTCTAAACCTCACCAATTGAGTCTTAGAAGTTTCTTTGAAGAGCTGTTTTCAGTCAGCAGAATTGGCCCTGCAGGAGGGACTCTGTGCCTGCTCTCCCGTGGCTCCAAGGGATCTCTGGCCCTTCATGCCGGCACCGAGATTTTCTCGGGAAGGGCCTCAGATCCCCGGACCAGTCTGGGACACAGGCAAGATCCCCCTGCATTTATAAATGAGGCCTTCTTGTGGCTTCCTACCCGTACACGTTGGTGGGTTCCAAAGAAGGGCTCTTGAAATGCCTTTTGGGCTGTCCATTGAAGCCTTGGGACCAAATTGGGCCCCCCTGGAGGGACAGTGCTGTTGGTGCCCCCCGGGTTGGGGCACCCCGAGGACTCCAGCGCGCACCGAAAGGATTATTCGGGGAGATCCTCGGGGTGCCCGGCCCTGGGGAGTTCAAAGCAAGGTCCCTGCACTGGATTCAGGCATTGCTGAGAGTATCCCAGGTGTAGCTGTCCATGCTAGACATGGAGCTCTCTACTGGACTGTAATTGGGTTCTAAAAGTGGTGCTCCAAGTGCAAAGGAAGTGTGGGATTGGGATTAAGAATCGAGCAGTGATGGTCCAATTGGCTGTTTTCTCTTGAATGTAATGGTAAGAGCTGCAGGAGTGCAAGGTGTGTGTTCCAGTCCCCAGCATTTGGTTTGCACATGTCCTGGTCAGACACAGGTCCAACTTCCTCAGTCCTTAACCCAATAGAGGGAGAATTAAGGGCTGGCAGTGTTAAGGTGTGTAGGGAATTGGCTATAGAACACGGTTTGCCTAGGCCGTGAGAAAATCTGAGATAGCAGAGCTACAGTGTCTTTGTGCCTGCTAGTTGGCTGGTAAACAGGTCGTTGTGATTAGCAAAACAAAAAGCAACTGAAAGCCACCTGTGTCAACAAAGGAAGGGAGTGAGAGACAGAATTAACATCTAAGTGTCAACAAAGGAAGGGATTAAGAGGTGAGATCAACATTTAAGCAGAACCAATAATGAGCTTAATCTTTGCAATATGTATGAGCTAATTATAAAGCATATATTAAGCTGTTAACAATGATCAATAAACGAAGCTTGCTGATTCTCATATTGAGGGTCCCTTTCTTCCCTCGTCACGACAAATGGCGCCGAACAAGGGACTAAGTTGAATCTGCGGTCCCCGGAACCTGAACAGGGGGTAAGTTAAATCTGCATCCCCCGAAGCCACGGTCTAACGCAGTAGCCGGTCGGTCTTGGAGCAGCACAAGAGGCGAAAGAGCTGGACTCCGCGCCCCAGGCGACCTTACAGGAGGGTCCTGGCCGACAGCACCGCCGATGTCTTGTAAAGGGCTGCAACAGCGCGCTGAAGATTTATAGGTATGGAAAGACAAGCGGTGCTTTTATTACTCCAGTGCTTTTTAGAAAAGCGGGGACTTAAGGGTATAGATTTGAAAAAAGAATTACCAGGATTGCTTACGACGGGGGTTGCTAAAAGTTGTTTTGTGGACCCTAATACAGTTTTTGATGAAAGAGAGTGGAGACGTTATGAGGTTAAGTTGTGGGAGGTTGCCGCGCAGACGGAGCTCGGTGTAACATGAGAGAAGTGGAGAAGCTGCCAGGCCAGCCAGACAAGACGCCTGGACAGGTGAGCCACCGAGAACAAGAGGGATCTAATGTTGCATCTATATGGAAGTCTATCCTGCTTAAAAAAGGGAGAAAAATTAGAGGAACTGGCTTTGCGGCAGATGCTGCTTTCATGTAAGGGCCAGGGATATGAAGCGAACACTGTAACTGCCTTTACTATCTCTACTTGGGAAGAACTTAGTGATAAGCTCTTTACTGCTGCCTATAAGGGAGAAAAAGTTGCTGCTTCCCTCCTTACAACTTGGCGATTGTTATCTGGAACAGTAAAAGACATTAAAGCACAGTCTGAGGACATTAGAATGCTACTAGATACCATCATACGGAGAAATCGTGTAAAAAGGGAGTCGAGCGGAGTTGAAGGGAGCCGGAGCGGGACCAGAGATCACGGAGCGGGGCCGGGGACAACCGAGCGGCCCCGCCAACATGAACGCGGTGCCAGCATCTCGGCAGTGCATATCCAGGACGATCGGAGACGACGGCTGCAGTGTGAAAGTACTGCTGATAGAGCAGGGATGAACTTTACGAACACTGTGACTGAGTTGCACCTTAAGACATTTCCAGCTTTTCATCTGAACTGTGCTGCGGGCCTGCGCTGCACATTTGTGGCTGTGTTCACGGCGCTGGGTGCTTACGCCGCCGTGCTGAGTGAATACGGGGCGGCGCCGGGCAGCGGGGCAGTGGCGGTGGTCGCGCCGCCTGCGTGGCCCCGGCTCGGAGCGCTCCCGGCTGACACCGAGCCGGGGGACGGTGGAATCGCTCGGAGCGGTGCTTGGCCCCGGCTCGGAGCGGTGCGCCCGTGTGGGTGCACGCCGGCGGCCCCGAGCGCGGCGGGCGGCGGGGGGGCTCTGTTTTCCCCGCACTGCTGACAGCCATGGTCCCGGGGGGTGTGCGTTCCCCTTCCCTTCTTTGCAGCGAGTGTTTTCTCCCTGGTGCCGCTCCTCTTCCGAGAGCGGCGAGTTAATGGCGGTAGCAAAAGCTTCAGAGGGTGCAGCTAGGGGAGGGGGAAAGCTGTTTCTCTTTTTCCCCGTTACACCAATCACCCCTTCTCTGAAACGTGCCTGTTTGCAGCTGTTCTCTCCCTCTCCTACGTTTTTGTCTCTTTTTAAGCAGACCCTGTGATTAAGTTAAGTTCCTTCTGCTGATCTCTCTAGGTGAGCCCAGCCCCTCCTCCCCCTCCTTCGTCCTTCGGCAATGAGGAGCGTGGGGGAGGCAAAGACGGTAAAACACGGAAAAAAGGCAAAAGAGAAAAAACAACTTAAAATTAACAATATCCCAACTTATAAATCAAATAAGATTGCATTGTTTTTACAGCAATAGGTGTTAAACATGCAGTGTGCTCATGGCATTCTCAAACGTTTTCTTCAAAACAGGGAGACTGACGAAAAATCCTTTGAAGTAAGATTAGAAATAACAGAACATCCGTGCTTAGCTTTTTGCATATTACAGAAGGTTATTAAGAACTTCCTATAGTTTGCCATTTCGCATCTCTTACATGAAATTTGGCTGTTTCCCCCTGGGGCAGGGTGCAGGTAGAAGATTTGGAGACGGAACGATGAGACAGAAGGGGATGTAGTCCTGCCCCCTGCAAAAGTAGTTTTATTGCCTTTATGATAAAATATCGTTGCTCTATGAGAAGAGTTGAAGATTTCCAAGATAATATTCTGTTCTTTCTTGCTGTATTTGTCTTTTACATGGAGAGTTATGCAGAATTTGCAGATTGCTGATGGCAGCTATGCCATAAATTTCCTTTGAATTATGAAACTGATAAGAAGTGCACAGCCAATGACTACTTGAAAATGTGTGTGTGATTGAGGAGAATGTCTGAGGTGGCCACCTGAATGTTGTGTGAAAGAAAAAAGCTACATGAATGTGTGACTGTGTAAACTTAAAAATACTTTCTGCGGGTGTCAAGATTTTAGAGATGTGTAACACGATTCTGTTGAACCATAGTGAATCCTTATTCTGGATGGTATATGAATTCTTCAATTTCCTATCATGAGTAGTGAGGTTTTAGTTATCTCAAGACTAGCCCTGTCCAGCTAGCTGTTTGATCTGAACTGAGGTTAAATAAGAGGTTCTTACATAAATTTGGTGTTCTATTACAGCCTTGTTTCAGAAATTTATGCAAGTTAAGTCTCAGGTAGAGTTTTTCTACTGCTGTTGTTCCTTAGCTGTGCGAGCTGTGCAGGAGACCACTAGTTTTAGAGCGAGTAAAAACCATAAGCCAGCAAACATTAGTACAGACTGCAAGGTTGGCAGAGCCCGAGGCAGGGTGCGCCACTGTGCATCCAGGTGCCCGGGAACCATTCTCACAATTCGTGGAAAAGCTGCAAGACGCTGTAGAGAAACAAGTTTTGTGACAGTTACAGAAGTTGCTAGTTACATAACTAGCTAGAGATAATGCAGGCTTGTGCCGGGGTGAGGTCCTTAAACCATGAAATAATTGCATTTGCATCTGCTATGGCAGTAGTGAGGGTCATTTTGAGCTTTTCTGTGTTTTCCAAGATTTAAATCGGGAGTTGTCGATGTTGCTGCCTTGTTTGTTCAGCTCGTTGCAGGGGAGCCTTTAGGCTGTCAAGGCCATCCTGCGTGCTTTCTCAGAGACATCTGCAGTGTTGTGGATAGTGTGTCTTCAGGCCTCCTGGCTGGAGGGCAGAGCGGACCAGTTATGCCAAGTCTTAATTTTCAAGCGTTGTTTGTACTCTAAAGAACTCCTTTGCAGAGGATTGTTTCAGCAAGTTTCCTATGCTTCGATCCAGTGCAGCTTCATAGTTTTTCACCTCTTTTACAGTTTTGGGAAAAACACGCTGTGCTTGGCCAAAAGCCTCCTTTAAGCTGATGGTCTTGTGGTCCCTGTGGGAGCTGGGGGCGGAGCGCAGTGTGCAGGTGCGGACCTTGTCCTTCTCACAGTAGCATTCCAGCAGTTTGCCGTGCTGGGGGATTTCCTCTCAGCCAAAACCTGGGCACCACAGAGCCCCACCAGGACGTAGTTTTTTCTGAGTGTTCTTTGTGCTATGCTTACTCAGGTGGGCTTGGCACAGGGAGACCTTGCAAGTCAGGCAAGTCTTCATGGCTGGACGGGGGCCTGTGGGGAAAAGGCAGAGTGGGCACTGGGAAGGGCCCTGCTGGCGTATTTCTGTTCCTTCTGTATGCACTCCTTGCAGAAGCTGTGACCGCACCCCAGGGACATAGGGTTCCTGTAAATGTCCAGACACATGAGGCATGTCAGTTCGTCCTTCAGCCTGGCCTCAGCACCCACCTCGGCCATGTTGCCTGAGCCTCGTGACAGGGCTGAGAGCAAGGAGGAGGGCACTGGTGAGGAACTGAGAGCGCAGCATACAGAAGCCTTCAGATGTCAATTTAGCTGAATTCATTCTATTGCTCGCTCAGTTGTTGTCTCTTGTCCAGATTGTCGTCGTGCTTGTACTGTCTATTTTAGTACTAACCCTCGAGGTCTTACTCTGGCAAAAGATCCCCAGGAGTTAAGTTTAATGAGATCACTGTCTGTACGTAACACAAGTGATAATGAGACTCAAACCTGTTTTATGTTAAGATTATTTCAATCTAGATTAAGTGTTTATCAAAGCCACGACTTGTCCAGCTGGCACAAACTACCTAACCTGTACACAAAAGAATTGTAGAGCCTGGGTGAAACAGTAGAACACACAAAGAAAGTAACAGTAACAACTAGTCTTACAGACTCGTAGCTTCAATCTATTTTTGGTTCTATGTCTGAATGGGTTTTAAGTTTTGTTAAAGAAAAGCCTACGATGGTTGTTGACAATTGTTATAATTTTAGTAATAGTTCATATTGATTTTTCTTGTATTGTTAAACGTGTAAGTGCTATAACAGAGAAAACATTGTTGGCCCAGAATAAACAAACGGGGGTATTTGTAGGGAATTGGCTATAGAACAGGGCTGGCCTAGGCCATGGGAACATCTGAGATAGGGGGGTTACAATGCACTTGTACCGGGTTAGCTGGCTGGTAAACAGGACACTGTGATTAGCAAAACAAAAAGCAACTGAAAGCCACTTGTGTCAACAAAGGAAGGGAGTGAGAGACAGAATTAACATCTAAGTGTCAACAAAGAAAGAGACTGAGAGATGAGATCAACATTTAAGCAGAACCAATAATGAGCTTAGCTTTTGCAATATGTATGAACTAATTATAAAGCATATATTAAGCTGTTAGCAATGATCAATAAACAAAGCTTGCTGATTCTCATATTGAGTGTCACTTTCTTCCCTCGTTACGACAGATCCTTCAGAGTTCCCATCCGTGTTTGTGTCTCAGCCTGTGTTATGATTCAGGGCTGTAGCTGTTGTTGTCACTGAGGAGTCAAACTCTGCTTTAAATAATGAGACACTGGCCTAGTGGCCAAGTGTCAAGAAAAAAGTGGGAATGATACCTGAGTGTTGAGATGTAACAAGAGGTAATCCTTTTTGCAGTGGGATGTAGCCTGGAAACTGCACAGAGCTGAGCCAAGGGATTTAAAGGGACCAACCAAGGGAGGTGAAGAAAGAAGGAAGAAGGGAAGTGAGACAGTAGACAAGCACCACTAAGTTACACTGGAAACAGGTGAGTTATCTTGAGGTTCCTAAGGCAGGCACTGAGGACTTTGAGGGCTCCAGACAGAGCAGACCTGCGAAGGGCCTCGGTGAAGCCCCTTGGAAACCTTCTAAGGGTAGGTGTGTATGGTAGTGAGTGTTGGAAAATGCCCTGACCGTGGAACAGGAATGCAGGGAAGGAAAATGAAGCCTCCTGTAATGCTGACCCCTCCCATCAGCTGCAGTGGAGATACCTGTGTGTGCCCTTTGGGAGCTGATTGCCAGGACACCTGGTGGGCTGGGATCATGGCAGGGTGTTGTAAGCAAGGAATGCCTGGCTTCTAAACCTCACCAGCTGAATCTTAGAGGCTTCTTGGAAGAGCTGAGTTCAGGCAGCAGAATTGGCCCTGCAGGAGGGACTCTGTGCCTGCTCTCCCGTGGCTCCAAGGGATCTCTGGTCCTTCACGCCGGCACCGAGATTTTCTCGGGAAGGGCCTCAGATCCCCGGACCAGTCTGGGACACAGGCAAGATCCCCCTGCATTTTGGGACCAAATTGGGCCCCCCTGGAGGGACAGTGCTGTTGGTGCCCCCCGGGTTGGGGCACCCCGAGGACTCCAGCGCGCACCGAAAGGATTATTCGGGGAGATCCTCGGGGTGCCCGGCCCTGGGGAGTTCAAAGCAAGGTCCCTGCACTGGATTCAGGCATTGCTGAGAGTATCCCAGGTGTAGCTGTCCATGCTAGACATGGAGCTCTCTACTGGACTGTAATTGGGTTCTAAAAGTGGTGCTCCAAGTGCAAAGGAAGTGTGGGATTGGGATTAAGAATCGAGCAGTGATGTTCCAATTGGCTGTTTTCTCTTGAATGCGATGGTAAGAGCTGCAGGAGTGCAAGGTGTGTGTTCCAGTCCCCAGCATTTGGTTTGCACATGTTCTGGTCAGACACAGGTCCAACTTCCTCAGTCCTTAACCCAGTAGAGGGAGAATTAAGGGCTGGCAGTGTTAAGGTGTGTAGGGAATTGGCTATAGAACAGGGCTTGCCTAGGCCGTGAGAAAATCTGAGATAGCAGAGCTACAGTGTCTTTGTGCCTGCTAGTTGGCTGGTAAACAGGTCGTTGTGATTAGCAAAACAAAAAGCAACTGAAAGCCACCTGTGTCAACAAAGGAAGGGAGTGAGAGACAGAATTAACATCTAAGTGTCAACAAAGGAAGAGAGTAAAGAGGTGAGATCAACATTTAAGCAGAACCAATAATGAGCTTAATCTTTGCAATATGTATGAGCTAATTATAAAGCATATATTAAGCTGTTAACAATGATCAATAAACGAAGCTTGCTGATTCTCATATTGAGGGTCCCTTTCTTCCCTCGTCACGACAAAGGTGACTGGTGTGACAGGGGTTAAATTGGGAAAACATTGGGGAATTCCTCAGTTTCCCTATTTGCCAAACTCAGCCAAACCTGTGCTAGGAAGAGATGGACTGGAGTCTCTGATCTCCTGAGTAGTTGTTCTGCATGATCTGGGAGCCTCTGGGATTAGACTGGACTGGGCAGACAGGGAGCAGTTTGTCCTGTGGAGTTGGGCTGGGTTTGTTGAGGATGCCTTGGGAGGCAGGGCTGGGGAGGCTCCTCTGTTGGCTGTAGTGGTGGAAGGTTGTAGCAGGAGGGCTGGAGCCTTCGACGTCCTGCTCCCCCCGTGAGCCCCGACGGGACCGTGCCCTTGGCAATGGAGGGCCCCCCATTGCTGAGCCAGCGGTTCCGGGGGCCAGGAGGGATGGGATCAGGATGCCGAGCTCCACCCAGGGCCAGGGCTGCCAATGTTGTAACCGTGGAAAGAACTGAAAGCAGAGTGAGATGGAGGCCAAGCTCCAGCACAAGGATGGGTGAGAAAAGACCGTGGTCCTCAGGTGGAGCTTTGAATTCCCTGGAAAAATGGATCCTGTCAGACGGTTCAGGCCCTCGTGGGTGCTGGAGCAGAGGCCTCTAACTTATGGTCACCCTAAAAAGTTGCCAGGGCAGCAAGTTTTGACTGCAGGATGAGGTGGGAAACCAAGTGAAGTGGTGCAGAGAAAAGCTGAGCTTAAAATTGGTCCTGTGCCAGAGCAGCCTTGTGCAGGTGCTTGTTGCTGTCCCTGAGTGTCCCATTGCAGTGGATATTTCCAAGGGCTGCCTTGTGCTGGGGAACACTGAGGGCAGTTCCCTTTCCCTGGGCACGTTTCCCCCCCTCGAGGGTGGCTCCACAGTCCCACCCTCTGCCCCGGGAGTGTGGCAGAACACCTGGAGCCACTGTCCTTGTCAGAGAGGGGACAAGGGATGGTTGGATGGGTGAGGCAGTGGTTCAGGGAGTACAAGCACCATTAGAGTGAGTAGTGCAGCACGTGGAAAGAAAGGGGGGGAGTTAATCCAGACAGAATTCAAGCACCTGCCCAACCTGTGATATTTTTAGGACCTCAGTGGCGTTGTGGTCCCCAGGAAGTGTTGCCCAGGACTAGGCAAGTGACTTCAGGCTTTGTCACCCCCAGAGCAAGGTGGAAGCCCAGCAGTTTACTGGTTTGTTTGGCTTTTGGTGACCAGAAGGTCCTCCTTTGGGACCAATCCTTGGCCCGTGCCATAAAGTCCCAGGACAGAAGTGTGAGTTTGAGTGGGAAATGAGCAGCCAGGAGGGTTTGAAGCAACTCAGGGAGCAATTCAACAGGCTCCAGACCTGTGGCCAATACGAGCCAGAGAGGGGGAACTAGAGGTTCCTGCCAGTGCTAATGATGCCCCTTGGAGCCTCTGGCAGAAGTAGGGTAATGTAAGGGGGGAACTGTTGAATTAGATGATCAATGGAGCATAGAGGTGTGAGAAAGAAATCCTATTAGGATGTGAAACCGGCTGGAGTATGGTACAATGGAACTTGATGGCACAAGCTAATTGTAAGGTCCATTGTGCTTTTCAGCAAGTCAGCCTGATCTCCCGTTATGAGAGCTGAGTTCTTCCTTGGTTCTGCTACATCTTGCCAGATAGATACCTCTGCCCTTGAAACACAAGGGTAGAGGTCATCCATAGGGGTGAGAAAGATGCTGGTGAGAGGAAGATGATGTGGGCAGGGGTCGCTGGCCCCTTGCCCTACAAGTAGGGCAGGCCCAGACTGTTGCCATCAGGCAATGATCGGGCGGTGTTTGGCTGCCATTCAGGCCTCCCCTTACACTGCGTCCTGGCCCTACGTGGTGTAATGTGGAGCTGATAAAAATGGGCTGTCAGGACTGCTGAGCTGAGCGATCCTCATCCTGCCACCGAGCCTGTGTTGCTCCGCGGGGACGCCCGCTAAGGGATGGGCACCGACCAGCTGCTGCAGATCCTGACAGCCCTGGCCTGTCTGTGTGGGTAGGCAGAGTTTAGTGATGGGAAGACTTTAAATATCCTTTAGTGTTCCTTTAATACCCTTTATTTAGTACTCATAATATTTTCCCTTTAATGTCCCCTTTTACTAACCAAATAGCGTGTCAGTAGTTACCCATAATATTGTGTGAAGATCCTTTTTGGTATCCCTTTGACTCCCTTTTTACTAGTTAATTTTAGACTGTATTGAATGCTGTTCTTAGTATTTGTTTTAATGCCACATGATAAGGTAGTTCATTTGTATCCTTTTTGAACTTTTGATTCTCTTTGCTAAGTTTATTCTTCTTCTTCTTCTCACTGCAATAAAGATATTTTGTGTGTTTGAATGTTTGTGGCACTTGTCTTTATTCCGGGCATGTATCCCAACGAACTGTTCCAGGTAGGAAGGAAGTGCCCTTAGGATTTGGGAATAGGAAGTTACTGGAAGCCAGCCCAAGATAGACCCTGTTGGAGAAGTGGCTCTGAGTACGTTATTGGGCTTTAGTGGGAACAACAAATGATAAGAGGGCCTGAAATCCCCCTAAGGCCTTGGGTCAAAAGCTCCTCCAGGGTGCACAGGCCAGGCCATGCTCAGGAAGGCAGCCCCATGCAATGGAGATGGTGTATCCGAGCCAGAGCCAGAGCAGGGGTCGGGGCAGGAGCGAGGCCTCGTGAGGGAGTTGCCAACGGCCCTGTGGTTTAAGCAACAGGTGTAGATCCCCGGGACAGTGAGCACAAATCACTGGGGCAATGGGGCAAAGCCCCAAAGCAAGTGCTGGGAGAAGAGAGGGAGCATGCATGGCTCACTGCTGGGTCAGCCAAATCTATCAGTGGGAGGCACTTTTGGAAAGCAGGAGCAGATAACCCGTGCCAGAGTCACGACGGGGGGAGGCAAAAGTAGTCCATGTGCTGAGTGAGCCACTGTACCTGTGGGAATGAAACAGGAAGAACTAGGGCAGTGTCAGGTTTGTAGGGATTTGGGGTCAGTTGGCAGTGGTTTGGCTACTTGGCTACCACGTGACACCCTCACGGAATTAGTGATTAAATGCAGACAAGGAAGATGGGAATATATTCCTTTGAATCAATGTTAGTGGAGGGAATGATCTGCCCATGTTTTAGCTTGATATCTTACAGAAACTCTGGATCCTGGCCATCCTCATAGCCCTTGTGGTCCCTCTGGGCGATGCTGTTGGCCCGGGCAGTTCCCTGGAAAAGGTGCCTGGGTCGGGTGACTTGGTTTGATTTGGATGGAGATGGAAAAGCAGCTCCAAAACAGGACACCAGGACAAGGTGACCTGGGAAGCAAATGGCCCTTGCCCAGGGGTCAGTCTCACTTTGTGCCTGGGGGGACTCTCTGGCAGGGCCGGGGTCTGTCGGGCTCATTGTGTGGGCGGCTGTTGGTGCCCTCAGTGGGATTGTATGGATGTGATTCCAGGGGCTGGGAGCACTGTTGCCATGCAATGCTGTAGTTTCCCTTAGTGTGCTGGGGTCCGGGGGGTCTCCCTGGCATTGTTGTCCCCCTGTGTGAGCGGTGCCAGTCACAGCCACAATGTCACAGCAGCAGTGCCGTCCCCTGGGCTCTGCCTGCTGGGCTGTTCTGGGTAAGTGCTGCCAAAAGAGCAAAGGGATCTGTTGGGCAGTAATTTATGAACCGGGCTGAGTGCACATGCCATAGTGTGTATATTGTAATACAAAGAAATAAGGCACAGAATGACTTAATGGGTACCAATGAACTGATCTGGAGGACTGTATTCCCATCCTGGATTGCAAAAATTAACTGGCTGTTGTCTCCTGAATTGCTGCAGTGCACCGACTGATATCGTGCTGGAAAAATAACACACTTCAATGTAAGTAAACCAGGGATTTTTGTATGTAAGTGCAAATTATTGCCCTGCAAATTTGAAATAAGACTTGACTTGATCACCAAATGCAAACAGTAACTATAGGGGTCAATTAGTGACCTTTGGGCATCAGGTTAGAACAGCTCACTGCTCCCCACTGGTGGGACATATTTACAGGATTCTCACCACCTGCTACAAAGTTTTGGAACACTTTAATCCATCCACTAATCCCAGTAATTATTGTACTGACTTTACGAACAACAGAGTTGCTGTCTCTGGGATCAATGACAGGAAGGTGCTTCTCCCGTGTCTCTGCCCTGCCCAGGGCTCAAAGGACCAAAGGAAAGGATGAGAAGTTGGCTGCGAATTGAGCCCCGGGGCTGCTGCCCCTGAGGAGCAGGGTAAGGGCTGTGTGTGCTCGGGGGCCCTGGCTAAAGGCTGCAGGTGCTGTGAGTGTGTGCTGGGCCAAGGCAGCAAAGGTGTGTGCAGCTGTTCCGTGCCCTCTCCCCTTGGCCCCGCCGGGGCGCCTGCCCAGCGCTCCAGGGGTGGCCAACGGGGAGCTCACGCCAACCTGCCCGTGGCCACGGCCCCACAGTGCCAGGCCTGGCCTAAAGCCGGCTTTGTTGGGCAGAGCCTGGCCAGCGGGATCCCCTTGGAGCCGCCCCGCAGCCTCCCCTGGGGTGGAGGCACCCGCAGGAATTGTCCCAGTGCCGGAGCCTGCGGGATCGGCTGCCCCGGGGCTGCCGTGTGGGCTGGGGGGGAGCGGGAGGGGGCCGTGGGGGAGGGATTTCTGCTGAGCCACAGTTCTGTCTCTGGGGCAGTCAGGATGGGATGTCTTGCTCCTTTCCTTTTGTATCCCCTAAATCTGTATCCCATGTGTTGGATTGGGTTTGTTTAAGCTGTTCCTATTCTTCCATGACTGGTGGGAAGTTGTTTCCTGGAGTGCCCTGTCTGTCAGCAAAACACCAGGCCCAAAGGATCCTGGCAAGTGCAGCACTGGAAGAGTCAGGAAGACTCAAAAATGCACCAGTTCTCAGGAAGCACAACTTTGTAAAACATTGATGAAGCTAAAATTCCCCAGCATTGAACTGTTGGGTCCCAAATGAGATTGGAGGGAGAGGCAGAAAATGCCACTGCTGCTGGGGCTGAACTGTGCCGTGAGTGGGCAGGACTTGGCCCTGATGCCTGAGTGCATCTTTAGGATGGATGCCAACTGTCAGCCCCTGGCTCCATAACTTGAGTAGATGGTGTTCCTGCAAGCCCAGCTGCTGTGTTGGTGGTGCTGTGGGTACCTCTGGCCCTGGCGTGCTGTGACTGTGTTTGTGTTGCAGCTCAATAAAGTCCCTTTCAGTGGTGATTGTGTCATTTTGGTGTCAGTTGCTCTCAGTTCCTGTCCCCTCTTCCCCTGCCCCAGTGGCTGCATCGCTGCCTTGTGCCTAAATGAACTCTTCCCCTGCAGCAGTTCCCTGCTGCTCTCAGAGAGGGTGGAGTTGAGGCCCCTGAGCAAAGGGAAAAAGGATCCATCCAAGGCAGGCCCGTGCTCACCCCCTGCATTCCTCCAGCCTCCCGTGTTTCCAGTTCCCCTCCCTGCTGGACACACAGCCTGTTCCCAAACAACCCCTGTTCCTGTTCTCTCTCTGTGTCTCCCCTCACAACTCCCCTCCTCTAATCTCCAGCTGCCCAGGCCCCTGTTTTTGAGGGGCATTCCTGGGCTGCTGTCCCCCCCTTCTTTATAAATGAAGTGCCGAGAGCCCCAAGTGCAGAGAGGTCTGCAGGGAAGAAGTGCCAAGAGCTGCCTGTGCCTGCCTGTGTTCCTGCAGTTCTCCTTCCTCTTCTCCCCTGGGCTGGAGAGACCTGCCTGCCCTGTGTTTATTGGAGCAGAGGGATGGGATTAAATTTGTCCAGCAGGTTTGTTCACGGACACTTGTTTTCTGACAGGCAGTGCCATTTTCCTTTTGCCTTTCCCAAGTTTTTCCAAGTGCTGCGCAGCACGGGGATCCGTGTGCTGGGACAGTGATTGGCAGGAGGAAGGGGAGCCTTGGCCTCACCTGCCCAGCTCAGGTGGGTGGCAGAGAATTGGGGTGGGCTGGCAAGGCATGAACATATTTCTGAGTTCTGGAGTGCCTTGAAAGCTTTCCCTGTCAGCTTCCTCTCCCTCCTTTCCTGGGCTCCAGCATCCCAGGTGTCTCTTCCTTTGCCCAAAGTCCAATGGCAGAGGATTGACTAACTACCAAGGGGGGTTGGGAGTGAAGAAGGTTCTGTTCCAATGGGGCAAGGAATGCAGTGAGAAAGATGAGCCTCCTTTTAGTGCCTGAAGTAGAGAGGAATAAAGATGCCGGAAAAGGCCACGTTTCCTTTGTTGTCCCCCCTGGATTTTTCATGGCTCAAACTCTCTAGTGAGCAATTGAAGAGAAGGGTGAAGGGCAGGAGCCTTTGACTTGCCCAGTGCACTTAATTGCCTTGTTCTCCTCTCTTCCAGGCCAGGCCAAAGCCCTGACTGCAGCCCAGCTCTGCCAAGTGCCCTGGGCTGGGAGCAGCCAAAGGCAAGAGGCTGCAGCCCCGCCGGCCGGGCTGGGGGCTCCTGGTGCTGCCCGTGGGGTGGGGTAAGTCAGAGGGACACCTTTCTCTCCTCCTGCCTGTTGGCATTTGCTCCCTGGGCACTGGATGTGTAAGGAAGGACGGAGTAGCAGGGAAGGGGAGTATTTCCAAACTGTCTGAATGTTGCCCCCGGGTTTGGGATGGAGCAGCCATGGGGGTGGTTGGGTTTGGCCTGGGCCGGTCGGGATCAGCCATAAAGGACCCACCAGACCCCTGAACCCTCACTGGACATGTCCAGCCCCTCAAGTTGTTAATTTTCAACATAGGACAAGTTATTGGTACTTGCTTCTGATCTGTGGAGAATTTCCTTTGGAATGATCAACCAAAGAGTGTATCAGTGCAAAGCATCTTTTTGGATCTTTGTTTATTTGTTTGTTTGTAATTTCCTCTCTGGCTTCAATGAGTTTGGTGGGCTCCTGTTAAGGAAGCAGCATATTTTTATTTGGAAATTTGGGGTGGTTTGGTTTGTTTAGGGTGTTTTTTCCCCCACTGACTCGGGCCTTCTGTACATAGTCCGTGTTGTCCTACAGGACTGTTCTGGTTCTGGGTCAGAGAGAGAGAAGGGAAGTGGCTTTTCTTCATCTTGGATGTTTCCAAGCAGAAGTGGGGCATCGGCCTGCCCCTCCCCAAAGCACTGCAGGCACCTGGGAGTAGCTCAGGGCTGGCCCAGTTCTCTGAGACAGAACCATGGGGGAGAGGTTTAAGTATTAATCACATCTCTGGTGTCTTTTGGTTGCAAAGATTGGGTCCTACAGTCCTAGAGTGTTAAGGAAAACGAGGAACTCTTGTTCTTCCTGGCAAACCTGTTATTGCTTGTGCAGTGTTTGGGTTCTGTTGTCTGAGTTCCTGTCCAGGATCTTTCAAAGAGAACCTGTTAGAAATTTAGAGGTGGGGTTAGAATTTGGGTGTGTTCCCTACCAAACTGATGGACTGGAGTGATGAGTGCTCTCAGCCCAGGGTATTTCTTAATGTTGTGGCTTTCCCTCAGCTGTGGGTGAGGAATTGTGCAGGCAAGGCCTGTGTGCCCGTGGATGTCTCCCGTGTGTGTCCGTGTGGCAGGGCTGGGACAAGGACTCGTGCAGGGACCGAGCTGGCACTGGAGCTGCTGCCATCCTGAGCCATTGCCAAGGGGTGGGTAGAGACCATCTGGGAGGCTGTTGCCAGGGTTCCATTGGGAGCTGGATCTCCCTCCAGCTGCAGCAGCCAGGGGAGGGTTCTTCCTTGTGCAGCCCAGTGGCTTCTGCTCAGGCTGGCCCAGAGTGGGGCTGGGGCAGGTTCTCCAGGGAACTGGAGCCAGCCCTGAACGGGGCTCTGGAGAGCAGGGAGCTGCAGGGACTGAGGTTTGCAAAGCTGGGCTGAAGTTTGTCAAAGCAGCAGAAGATTGTCGTTCCTGTGGGTTTGTGGAGTCCGTGTTGGTGCCCAGGAGAACTGGGTCAGACTGGGCTTTGTGGTCCGAGAGCTGCAGCCCTAAATTTGGCAGGCTGTGTGTGCTGGCAATGAAGTGCTGTCCCCAGAGGCTGATGGTTTCTGTCTCCAGGGATGCCCAGGACGCTGCTAATGCCGAGGGATCTGCTCTGGGTCCAGGCTGTCCGTGCTGGAGGGCCCTGGTGGCTGCAGTCCCTGAGCCCACAGAGACAGAGAGAGCCCCGGCCCGAGTGGCCTTTGGCACCTTGTCCTGAATTTGGGGTGAGCCTGGGAGCGTGTGGAAGGTGAGAATGAGGGCTGTGTTTCCAATACATCATCCCTGGGAAGATCCTGTTGTTCCAGAGCGCCGGGGACAGTTTGGGCCTGGCAGCTTCAGAGCTGGGTTGGAGCAGTCCCTGAAAAGAATCAGGAGAGTGGAGTTTTGTCCCAGTGCTGCTTTCACGCCCCACTTGGCAGTTCTGGGCTTTGTGTTTGAGGTTGTCCTGTATTTGCTCTGCAGATGATGGGCCCTTCCCAATTCAGCCCAGCAGATCCCAAGGGCTCTGACAGGAATATTTGTTCTTTCCTTCCCTTTGGGATAACTTCATCTCCAAACTGCCATGAGCAATTCCTTAATTTCTTCTGGAGAAAACCAAGTGTCAGAGGCAGTTTGCCAAGGAGGCCAGAAGTGTCTTTGGAGCAGAGAGTGCTGTCTTTGGGCACTGACCATTAGAGGGATCAAAACCACTGCCTGCCAGAGGGTTTGTCCTGGGCCAGTCAGGCCTTGGGCAGGAATTGGACTGGGCAACTCCATCAGCTGCTCTTCCCTCCCCCACAAAGCCCCATCCCCTGGGCATTAATGACGTGCCCTGTGCCCACCGCTCACTGTTCACCCAACTGAAACCAGAGCAAGGCTTGCTTTGCTTGGAAAAACTTAAAAAACCTTTAAACCAAAATAAATCACTTTTTTCTTCTCTTTTTTTTCTTTTAGATGCTGGAATTGCCTCTCTGGCTGTGTGCTGAGCTCTGACTGCAGGGGACTGTCAGGCCTTGGTGGCTGTGAGTTCCTGTTCTTCTCCCTGGGAAACTGGAAAGAGTTCTTCATTAGATTGCAGAAATGTTTTTTGAAACCTGTCCCCTTCTTTGTGCCTTTTGCTGACAGACCTTCTCTTTCTGCCTTTGCATGTACAGCTGTTCCCTGCTGTCCATTCCCTGGCCTGAATTCCTTGCAGCTCCCAGCTGGGGAAACCTGGGATAACATGGCAGGGACAGAGGTGACATTTGTAGCTGCAAACTTCGGGTAATTTCGAGGGGCCCCAGCGACTGTTTCTGAAGGAAAAGGTGAGGTGCTGCAGAGGGGAGGGAGGTGGCATTTTGGAGGGGTCCCACTGAGGGGGGAGTGGAGAGCCTGGGTCTGGAGTGTGAGTTATTAAACAGGGAAGAAGGGAAGGATGCTTGGGAGGGAAACACTCAGGGAATGTGTAGGGATGGAATGGAAACTTGGGGCATCAGGAAGAGAAAATGGGTGATGTAGAGGAAGGGAAATGTTGGGTGTAAGAGTTGATCTCATCTGTAGAGGACAGAATGACCATTTAGAGATAAAGTGAGGCAGTGAGTGGTGGGCAGGTCGGGAAAATTTGTGTTTGTCAAATTTCAGGTCACCTGTAGCAGAGAGGATGTACATCACGATGGACACTGAGGCAGTCAGGGGTGGGCAGGATGGGGGGAAACCTTTGGGGTAAAACTTGAGGTCACGTCAGGGCAGAGAATGAATATTTTGAAGGATAAATGAGGTACTCAGTGGTGGACAGCTGGGGAGTGTTTTAGGGTAAACTTGGGCTAGCCCACAGAGTAGAGAATGAACATGTATTTGTACAGAGGAGCTGATTACATGTGGGTAGGTAAGGAGAATTTTGGGAGTAAAATCTGTAGCAGAGTGAATGAATATCTTGGTGTGAAGTGAGGCAGTCAGTGTTGGGCAGGTAGGGAAAAATTCTGTTTGTCAAATTTGAGGTCACGTGGAGCAGAGAATGTACATCCTGAGGTAAACTGGGGTAATCATTTGTGGACATATGGGGAAAATTACAGGGGTAAAATTTGGGGTAATGTTCAGGACATAGAACGAATATTTTGAGTTAAAACTCTGGGGGTTTTGAACGAGGTTATCTCCAGGGGAGAGAAAGGACATCATGAGGTCAACTGAGGGAATCAGTGGTGGCCAGGTAGGGACATTTAGGGCAGAAATCTTCGAGGTAATCTCCAGGGTCCAGAATGAATCCTGAGAGGTGCAGAGGAGGCAATCAGGAGTGGACACTCCAGTGGGCTCAGGGAAGATTCTGGGGATAAAATGTGTGGCAGTGTCTGGCAGAGAGAATGAACATTTTGGGATAAACTAAGGCAGTCATCAGGGGACAGGTAAAACTTGAGAAACTCTCCAAGGTGGAGAATGAATATTTGGAGGTCAAAAGGAGGTAGTCAGTGATGCGCAGGTAGGGAAAGTTTTGAGAGTAAACTTGAGGTGGTCTGTAGGGTAGAGCATGAACATATTTAGGTATACATGAGGTGATCAGCTGTGGAGAGGTAGGGAAAATTGTGGGAGTCAAATCTGTGGCAATGTGCAGCAGAGAGAAGGAACATTTTGGAAGAAAGTGAGGCAGTCAGGAGGGGAGAGGCAGAGAAATTTCTGAGGGTGAAACTTGAGCAAATCTGCAGGGCAGTGAATGAAACCAGAGCAAGGCTTGCTTTGCTTGGAACAACTTAAAATAACTTTAAAACAAAATAAGTCACTTTTTTCTTCTTTTTTTCTTTTAGATGCTGGAATTGCCTCTCTGGCTGTGTGCGGAGCTCTGGCTGCAGGGGACTGTCAGGCCTTGGTGGCTGTGAGTTCCTGTTCTTCTCCCTGGGAAACTGGAAAGAGTTCTTCATTAGATTGCAGAAATGTTTTCTGAAACCTGTCCCCTTCTTTGTGCCTTTTGCTGACAGATCTTCTCCTTCTGCCTTTCAATTTACAGCCTCCTTGCAGCTCCCAGCTGGGAAAACCTGGGAAAACTGAGGAGGGACAGAGATGAAGGTTTTATCTGCAGATTTAGGGCAATTTCTAGGGGATACAGCAACTGTTTGTGTGGGAAAGTGTGTTAAACCACATTGGCCCAAGTTGTGTTTGCACCAGCTGGGGCCAGAGGTGCCAGGCAATCCAAAGCAAACCCTGCTCAGCCTCCAAATCCCAGGGGAAGTTCTCCAAGCTGCTCATTGAGGGACTAAAGATACATTGAAATGGAACCGAGACACTACTAAGTTTCCTGGGAATCCCAGTATTGCTGTCCTAGAACTTTTAACAGCTTTTTAAGCTTTTTATGACAAGAATGGCTTTCTTCCTTTGGATGAGTCCCTCGGTAGGATTTGGGGTTTCTTTGGATTCTGAATCCCTCCCGGTGGCCCTGACACTGGTCAGGAGCTGGCAGGACAAACAGAGTCAGAGCTCCTGGCAGGCACAGGGGCTTTCCCCCAGAGTGGATCCAACTGCTGCCCCCAGCCTGGCCAGGCGGGATCTGCTTTGGCTCCCGGCTTCTGCCAGAGACAGAAGGTGTTCCCTTGATTGGAATGAGGATCGCGTAGCTTCATCTCCTGGACGTTCCCTGGGCAGCTGATCCACTCTGCCCCATGTCCTGCTCTCAGTTCCTGCCCAGCCAGAGCCATCTGTGCCAAGGGCACGAGCACTCCCAGCCTGGATAGGGAATGGGGGACTGGCTTGTGCACAATTCACCTAGAAAGTCAAACGAGGGGATTGTTGGGCAGCGGCTTTGGCCGACACGGCAGCACAAAGATTGTTCTCTGCAGGGGGCCCAGGTTTGGGTTCCGGTCTCAGCTTTGCAGGTTTGGATGAATTCTACCTACAGCCCGCAATTCCATGCCGAATTCCTGCTGCAACAGCCTCCCAGTGCCTCCTGGAGCCCGGATGTTCCCCCGCAGAGCTGCTGCTCTAACGCCAGGTTTGCCAGGAAGCAGCCACGGTTCCAGGTTTGCTCAGCGGGATCGGGACAAGGACAGGTTGATATTCCACAGACTTTGCTGTTTCTAACCCTCCTCCCCCAGCCCCGCTGGTGTCCCTGGGGGGACTTGAGCGAGTTCGCTGGAATTCGGCCGCTTTTCCGCCCCGGGCCGGGCTCCAGGGGATGTGTTGGCCCAGGAGAAGGCGGGGGCCGGACGCGCTCCCGGCCCGGGGCGAGGCAGCCCCTGAGCAGGGGCGAGGACGTCTCTCCGGGCGGGAAGCCGCTGTCCCTTCGGAGCCTCGGGAGCGGCCCCGGGGAGTTCTTTTCCCCGAGGAAAGGGATGCACAGCCCTGCCTTCAGGGCACCTCGGCTCTGACCCACCTGTTCAAGCTGTCCACGGGTTCTGCAGGTGCGGTTGGGTCCCCGAAAAACTGCGAATTGCCTCCGAGCCCGACTTTCTCCGAGCATCCCCTTTTCTTTTCAGGCATCTCCGAGGGCTCTTGCTCGGGATTTAGTGCCGCTGAGGGGCACATTGCCCTGGCTTTAAGGCTGCTGCTGGCTGCTGGCCTCCGGCTGGAAGGGCAGGGATTTGGGGCGGGCGGGACACACGTGGGGGGCGCGGGACAGCTCTGGGAGGTGGGCCCTGGGAATGGCTGCCCGCGCTGCTCTGCAGCCCCGCCGTGCCGACACTGCCGAGTGCCAGCTGGATTCTTTGGGTCCTTTGGGGCTGTCGCTGGGGCGTGTCCAGGGTGAGGCATCTCAGGGGGCCCGTTCAGAGCAGCCCCCGGCTGAGGAGCCGCAGGCAGTCCTTTCCCCGTGCCCACCCCGGTGCCCGTGGCTGGTTCCCCCCCCTGGGATGTGCGTTTGGCGGACGAGCCCTGCTCGGGAGACAAATCCATCTTGTGCCCGATGGAAGCGCTGGCCCGGGGCTGCTCCATCCCTGCTGCCAGGAGCTGTGCTGGGAGTCCTGCGGCTGCGGGCGGGATTGCCTGAGCTCCGGACGCTCCGGAGCGCCGGGAGCCCCGGCAGGGCAGTGCAGGGCACAGCTCCTCCATCCCCTGGCAATAGGAAGCCCAAGCAGGGCTGGGTCACTGTCTGTCGCTCCGGCCTCCTCCCGGCCCGCGTTCCCTGCCCAGTTGGGACTGCCCAGGGAGCCCCGAGAACGTTCCTGGCGGGAAGCGGGAGCCGCCGAGGGCTCCGTCCAACTCCGGGCCCGAAAATCGGCCCCGACCTGAGCCCCCCCCGGCATTTTGGGTTCCGAAGACTCACCTGGAGGAGACACCCCCCCGCAGGCGGGACCAGGCGGCGACACTCGACCGACGCCTTTGCCTCGGAGCGAGGGATCCCTCCCGACTCGGCTGGCTCCTTTATCCTTGGAAATGAGCTCGGTTGTCGCACGAGCACCTTTGCAGCCATTGGGCGAATCCCGGACAGGGCCGGAAAACCTCCCTGAGCAGGGCAGCGATGAATTGGTGCCCGTCCCCAGCCGGGCACAGCCCAGCCGGCCGCGCTCCCTCCGGCCCGTGGCTGGGAAGGGGGGATTTAATGCTGCAGAGATTTAATAAAAGCGGATTTCCTGACTGTATTTGCCTGCGCTTCTTCCCTCCTTTGACTCGCGCGGCACCGTCCGGTTGGAGCGTTTCTTGGTTTCCTCCGCTATAGTCGTTTCCCTCCCAGGCAGGACCTTCCCCGTCTGCAAATAAAGATGGGGGATTTTTAAAAAGCAGAGGGTTTGCCCCGGGAGGGTACGAGTTGCCGAGGAAGCGGGGGAGAGGAAGGAGAACCTCAGGTCTCACCTGGCAGGTGTCAGAAGAGCCGCACCTTCTGGATGGCAGGGCAAAGAACTGCTGTCGGCAATTCCCGAAGTTCCGCAGGCAGAGCTGGGAGCAGCCTGTGCCCGACCCGCGGCACGGTCAGCGCCAGCTCCTGGGGCCGCCTGAGGACAGACACAGGGACACGGGGACAGACGGGCAGCTCTGCTCGGGGTCCCGGAGCACGGGAGGAACGAGGGAGCGGCTGCCCCCGTTCTTCCCTGCCCCGGCAGGGCCCCGGCTCCCCGCGGCCGGAGCGGGCCCGTGGCCGGAACCCAGGCGGGCCCCAGAGCCCTCGTTCCCGGGGGGCCCTGCGGGCGGGAACCTCCTGGGGCCGCGGGGAAGGGGGAGGCGGGCGATGTTCTTCGGTGGGGGGGGGTGCGGTGGCCTCGGGGGTGCCCGAGAGGGAAGAGCTCCGATCCCGCGGGGGGTGCGGGCGGCGCTGCGGGCCCGGCGGGATCGGGGGGTCCCGGGGCCGGCCCGGCGTGTCCCCGCGCCCCGGCCGGTCCCGGCCCGGGTTCCGCGTCTGTACGAGGGAAGCGCCGCCGTTCTCCCCCAACCGGGCCCCGGCAGAGCCCCGGCCCGAACTGCCCTGCCGAGCTCGGCCCCAGCGCCCACCCCGCAGCGAGTCCAACGATGCCGATCCCCGTACCGCTGCCGAACCCCATCGCAGCTCCAAGCCAGCCTCGGTTCCCCGGTGCCGTCCCCGCTCAGCGCCCCGAGCTCGGCGCAGCGCCGGGAGCAGCCGCCGGGCCGGGCCTCCGGCCCCGAGCGCCGATCGCTCCCGCAGCATCCCGGTACGAGCTTCTTCCACAAACGCGGGGCGACCGCGGCTCTGCCGGCTTTAAACCCCGCGGGCGGGGCGGGGCCGGGGCGGGGCCGGGGCGGAGCGGGGCCCGCACAGGTGTGCGAGGCGGGGCCCGTCCAGGTGCGCGGGGCGGGGACGGGCAGGGGGTGGGTCGGGGCGGGGGGATTTAAGCGCCGGAACTCGCCCCCACAGCCATTTGCTCGGGCAGTGCGCGGGGAGGCAGCAGCGCCGCGGGAGCCTCTCGCTGCCGCGGCTCTTTTTCTTTGCTTTTGCTTTTCCCTTTTCTTTTACTTTGTTCCCGTTCCTTCGTCCCCTTCCTTCCTCCCCCCCCCTACCCCCCACACCCTCCCCCCCCCAAACCCCCCCCCTCCCTCTCCCCCCTAGCCCCCCCCTCCCTC